TGAGCCAGTGAGATTTGAACAGCCGAACTGCAGATAACAGTCAGCTGAAGTAGCCTGCAGTGCTGCATTTAACCACTGCGCCACCTCGGCTCTTTTTTTTAGCTTTAAGTTTTTCAAATTCCAAATTTATTAACAAAGTTCTTCTTGATCTCAGTACTCTCTCACTCATAGCTTTCTCCTCCTTTCTTTCCGTCCTTCGTATTCCGAGTGACGTTTAGGCGCTAGCTTAAAGTCAATCAAAGTCTCCCCTGGCCATCAAACTCCATTGTTCTAAGAAGAGCTATGTTGCAGATCTGTTCTTCAGGTGACTTTAACTTCTGTCTAGAACCAGTGCTTGGACAATTAGCACACCAATAGGATACAATGTCATCTTATTTTGTCCCACCTAACTCAATCCCCTTTAGCCTTCAGCCATCAGATAAGGACTCCACTGCATCTCTTGTCTGGTCAGGTGGAGATACACTACTGAATGATGGATGGCTTTCTTGAGTAACATTGAAGAGAGAACTGAGTACTGTGATGCCTGTACAAGAATGGCTAAGGGCTCTTTTGCTAATCCTCCATTGTTACAAACTGTCTTTATAAGTAGGAATATCCCCAGAACTTCCAGTTATCACAGATGGTCCAGATGATACCAAAATTTTGATTCTCCCTACTATTTTCCTGCAAATAGTATCTAATTTTTGTTGTTGTTGTTGATCAGCCAAGTGTTGATCCATTGATTGTGACAGGAATCGATTGGCTGCCTGGTTAACCTAGCATGACGTTGTAGGCTAGAATGAATAACTAGTCCAAAGTAACTCAGCTGACTTTCATGCCTAAAATAGTACTGGAACTCATAGTTACCTGGTTTGAAGCCTAGAGCCTTAATGATTTAAGGCTGTCAAAAAATTCTGAAATATTTAATCGGATAAAATCCACTGAATCCATAGAAGACTTTTGTAGAAAAAAGTAACTTTGTCGATAACGTTGAAGTAGGGAAATCACATATGGGAACATTATAAAAGGAGGCTCCTATATTGCCCATCCAAACCAATATTTTTCCTGATAGTCGGATGCGCTAGATTGAGGAAGACTGACAAAGAAAGTGGTACTGGGCAGTTAAAGAGGAAAGAAGAATCAATTATTGCCCCCACTAGCAGGAAAAGTATCTCTCTTACAAAAAGCAATCCCGATATCTCAGCCAACAATTTAAAGCAGCAAAGTAAAAATAACAATAGACGCAGGTGGCAAAATTTCTCAGATGGTAAAAGCTTGAAAGAGTTTTAATTAAAGCACCAACTGATCCTTTTAGGAGAACAGATTTCATAAATAGAACATAACAAAATCTCTCACTGGTTGCTACCTCACTTACAAGATAGGATTTTCTAAAAACAATATAGTACATTGCCATTTATATGACTTGAATATGAACAAGAGCATGGACTTGACTGGACATCCACTCCATGAGATTGGTCCAGCCAAATTTCATGTTTTTCATCATGCCTGGGACAGGAAAGGAATGCAACAGATGTTGACTTAGAGATGCTAGCTGTTGCGAATGCTAGCAAATGCTGGATATGAGGTTGCTTGCTTATGACTTGGGGGGTTATGGGAATGCTGCAATGGAACTATGCTCCTAGCAGCATGACAGCATGCCTAATCAAGTAGCTGGATTTCATTATAGAGTATGTGGATTCAGGCAAAGTATTAGTATTGGATGATTTCAGTCTCCTTTTCCTGGGGGACCTCAGGAATCTATGACTATCGTAACAAACATGGATTTGTCTCAGATCTTTACCGCCGGCCCCAAACAGCTGGGTACGTTTTAGATCTGGTATTTTCCTCAGATCCATTGTACAATAAACTGGTTCTGGGGGCCTTTTCTGCCAGCCCACTGTAATGGGGTCTCCTCCTTCACTGCCTCATGAAAATGGGGTTAACTAGAGCCACCAAGTTCTTCTGGGAAGAGGAACTCATTAAAATGGTCCCTCCAGACAGCAGATTTCCAACAGGAATAGTGGATCCATTTCTTTGGATAATTTCCCTGTAAGTCTGTTGAACACCTTGTTGATTTCTGGAATATAGAAAGACTCAACAGAATTAGCATTGATTTGACCTCTTGCTATC